AGACTTGCTGCTTAAGCACCATGCTTCAAAAGAAGCTGGCAATGCTCCAGCTCTCCGTGAATGATTAACTATTACTACAATCCTACTTTATGGCATGTATGATGGGACAGATCAGCATCCAGGCTTTGTATGTCCTTTGCGTATCACTGCTGGCATCTTTGTTCAGGATGATTTATATCAAGGTAGGGCGTTTGCCTTACATGCAGCCAACATGGCTGACCCAAGTTCGATTCCTCCACCCCTCTTCGAGAGCCCGGCAAGCTACCGAGAGTATCTCGCCCGCACGGCAGAGCCTGGCAAGCTCCCCGTGGTGTATTCGATATGCCAAACACAGTAACAGCAAGTCTCACATGGAGACGTTACTGGGCCTGCTCGAGCAAATTGATGAACGACGGGAGGACCGTGACCGTGAAGAAACTCGTAACTGTTAACTAAGCTGAATCTGAGCATCACTTTTGGGTCATCTTTATGCTTCTTGAATTGGTATCTCCTGTCACTGGATTGTCTTCACTAGGCTTGTCTTAGAACATGCTTTTATTTAAAAAAAATACACAAAAGTTGTCATTTTAAGAGACATCATCAGCTCTATGATGATGGTGGTAGAATTCGAGTCTACCTCTTAAGTGGGGCTTCTATGTTGTTACCTCCATCTCCATTCATTTCAGATGAGTAACACATTTAAAAAATTCATGTGGGGTCTGGAGTGATAGCACAGCAGGTAGGGCATTTGCCTTGCACGCAGCCGACCCGGGTTCGATTCCCAGCATCCCATATGGTCCCCAGAGCACCGCCAGGGGTAATTCCTGAGTACAGAGCCAGGAGTAACCCCTGTGCATTGCCGGGTGTGACCCAAAAAGAAAAAAAATCGTTGGGGTTGGATGAGTTGGGCCATCCCCAGTAGTACTGGGGTGGAGGCTGGGGGAGATGGCTTCCTGGCTCAGTATTGGGGGTATTCCAGGAACCACACAAGGTTCCAGGCATTGAACCAGACTTGGCCACAAGCAAGACCAGGTAAGCCCATTACCCTGTACTACCTCTCCAACCTTAAAAATTCAAATTAGGGTCTGGAGTGATAGCACAGCAGGTAGGGGGTTTGCCTTGCACGCTGCCGACCCGGGTTTGATTCCCAGCATCCCATATGGTCCCCTGAGCACCGCCAGGAGTAATTCCTGAGTGCAGAGCCAGGAGTAACCCCTGTGCATCTCCGGTTGTGACCCAAAAAATTAAAAAAAAATCTAATTAAAATATCATGTAAACTGTTAAGAAAGTCATAAATGCTAACTCGTTTTAAATCAAAAATTGTAGGAAGGTATAGAGTGAAATGTAGAATTCTCCTTCTCTGTGTTTGGTCTTCACTCACACCCTCCAAAGCATATTGTGATTGCCAATGTCTTAGGTTTCTTTACATGAGTTTTCTAAGCATATGCACCTCTACATGTAAGTCACATGGGTATTCATTTTCTCTAAACTTATTCTATGCATACTATTTTGTGTCTTTTTATTTTTATGTTTTTAATATTTGAAATTTGTTTTAGGTTAGATGGTGATGATAGTGTCAGTATTTATGCTTTTTATACACAAATTTAATTCACTTTTACCGCCACCAAAAGTGCCCAAGACCCTCCACGTCTGTCCTTATGTCACTTCTAACTTGCTTCTTCCTTTTTCTTCTCCAACTGTTTTTATTTTAAATTGAATCACCATGAGAGACACAGTTATAAAACTGTTAATGATTGGGTTTCAGTCATTTTGTATCTTTTTTATAAAATTATTTAAGATACCTGTGTAAAATATCAGCACAATTCTGTTAATATCATTCTTTCAGAAACTTGCACAACATTTCACTACGTGTGTAGATCATGATTACTGATGAAATTAAATAATTTCCAATTTATACTATGTTGTTTTATAAGTTCTATTGTTTAATTACAAAGAGCATTCTTAATATATTACTAATTTGAGGAGCATATGTTTGGGTGAGTTTTTGTTTTTTGTTTTGGCTTGCCTGCTTGCTTGGCTTGGGGAGGGGGCACATCTGTTGGTGCTCAGGGCTTACTCCTGGCTTTGTATTCAGGGGTCACTCCTGGCAGTGCTTGGGGACCATATACAGTACCAGGAAACAAACTTGGTTTCCCATATGCAAGTAAGAACCTTAACTCTGTTCTATCTATCCAGCCCCGTAGAGCATGTGTTTAAATCTCGGTGTGCTGGGTCCAAGTTACCTTACACAGATTCACACTTCCACCAATATTGTCTGAGAGTGCTTCCACCTTTTCATCTATGAATCTTTAGGGTTTGAAGTGTCTGCCCTCTTGGTGACTGACATTTGTTACTTTCTAATCTGTCTATTAAATTAGTATCATTGAGTGGGTTTTCTGTTTGTTTATTTGGTTGGTTGTTTTGTTTTGGGATCACATCCTAATAGTGCTCAGAGATTACTTTTTGCTCTGAGCTCAGAGCATGAGCTTGCAGGTTCATGTGGTACCAGGGATTGAACCCAAGTTGTCAGCATGCAAAACAAGTGCCCTACCCACTGTACTATTGCTCCAACCTTCTTAAGTGTTTTGTATGAGACAAATAATCATTTACATGTTTATGTGAATTCTCTATAAAGCAACCTTGATTAGTTGTCCTTTGCATGTCCATTTTTATGAGAAGGAACACTTTTTTTTGGTTGGTGTGATATTTTTATATATGTTTGTTTGGGTTTTAGGGCCACATCCAGCAGTACTCAGGGCTGCTCCTGCCTCAGGTCTGGTACTTGGGGAACCAGGGTATGCTGAGGATTGAAGCCAGGCCTTCGGCTTGTGAATAATGCACTCTGGTCCTTTGAGCCATCACTCAACCCCTGCCTCTCCTTCCCTCTCAGGAGGAGAAACTATTCGATAAGCTACTGATCCTTTGGGCTTGGGTCTGGTCAGGTCTGGTTTTTGAGCCACACCAACGGTGCTCGGGGGCTATTCCTGACAGTGCTCAGGGGATCTGCAGGACAGGGCTGCACGTACAGTGAGTGCCTGACTCCCTGCACTATCTCTCCAGCCCTAGATAAGCTACTGTTTCGTAGATAGCCTCTCAGTCAGTCCCAGAAGCCATAAATGTATATGTGCCTAGATATGAATGTCTGTGAATTGTTTTTTTTCAATAAAGTAGTTGACAGTTATTTATTACATTCAATATTCCAACACCAATATTACAAAACACTGACTCACCTGAAGACCTACAGGAAATCACCAAATAGAAAAGTGTGGCCACACAGTCTGCTAAAAAGGAGACAATAGTCTGGGGGAAAAGATACCCACCTGCCCCATTTTTCCTAATATACAATCATGAACTTGGCGGCTCAGCTTACATTTCCCTGGGAAGAGCCAAGATGTGTTATTTCTGCTTAGGCCACAGAGCACAGATGCTGGTGTTTGGGTTCAGAGTCCTCCTCGAAGTGCTGTGGCTGTGGCAGAATTCTATTTCTTGCCACTGCAGGACTGAAGGATGTTCCTGTCTCCTTGCTGTCAGCGGGGGCCTCTCTCTGCTCCTGGCCTCCTGGCTCCTTCCAGCCCCAACCAGCCCAGAGCATCCATCACTCTGGTCTTGAATTCTTCCCTTTCTTCCTTTCAGTCTCTTTGATTTCTGTGTCCAGATCTAAGGAACTCAGCTGATTCAGCCCAGTCTGATGGGGTAATCTACCCATGATAAGATCAACTGATATTTTTGTTTTGGCTTTGTTTTGGGATCACACCGGGTGGTGCTCAGGGCTTCCTCCTGACTCTGTGTTCAGGGATCAATCCTGGTGAGGCTTTGGGACCATACAGGATGTCAGGGATTGAACCTGGGTCAGCTGCATGGAAGGCAAGCACTCTACCCTCAGTATTATCTCTCCAACCCCATATCAGCTGATCTGGGCTAAGTCAGAAGAGCAGAGTCCCTTCTCATGAGCACCTAAAGAGAGTGGCTGGAGGAAGTGTGTCTATGCCAGAGTCATGAATTCTGGGAATTTTTTTTTGTAAAGTACTTCACAATAATTCATTACATTCAATATTCCAACACCACACCCACCACAATAACACCTTTCCACCACCATTAGCCTGTCACAAAAGCAGATCCTAAATCATTTGTTTTGTATGGCTTGCTATGAATAATGAGTTAGAAATGATCCAAAAAAGTTTCCTTAAAGGAAAATGTGTGAAAATGTGTGAATATTATTGTATCCACTCTAGAGCCATTAAGCCCTTGCCTAAGAGATTACTAACATGTCGCATGCTGAGCCTTGTGTGCTCGTATTTCTTCGTTTATTTTTGTATCGAGATCAGTTGCCTTCTACCTTAACCCCCCAAAATGTGGTTGTTGCTCTTGGCACATCTCTGGAGTATAAAATCTCCAGGGATTCTAAAATTTTTAAATAGGGTGATACAACTGGAGATGACTTTGGGATCTTGATGCATCTCTGCAGCTTGTGGCTCTTTTGCGAGATTTGTGAGTCTCTGGATCATGGCCACTAATGAGTTTATAAGGCGCTGGAGGTGGTTTGTGGATGTGGCTGCCAGGCTTGGGGAAGACAGGGAAATGGAGGGGGGGGAAGGCCACCCATTTCCAGGGGTTGTGGGGAGAGGGACCATATTTAGTGTTGGGTATCGAACCTGAGTCTGCTGCATGCAGGGTAAGTATCTTACCTACTGCACTATCTCCCTGGCCCCTTGCTCTAGGATTTATGATGCCATTGTCTGCCCAGTCAATGTAGACACTGTCGTCTACCCAGTGGACAGGTTATCTATCTACTGGCTATGCAGACATTTTAAGTTCTCAGACCATGCTGTTTCTTACTATGTCGTTATAATCAGAATGTGCCTTGTGAGATTATAGTCTTGGATGTTCAACAGAACAACGGGATTAAAACAACCTAAGCCCATGGGACACTCAGGGGAGCTGTGTTGGTGAGATTTCTGGAAAATAATTCTAAAAAAATACTCTTCCCTCTCTTTCACTTTTCATCTGCTGCTTTGAACCAGGCGAATCATCTGTGACTTACTTGAGACCGAAGAGATGTATATAAAAGAAATTAAGAGCATAATAGATGTGAGTATAGTTGGGGGGGTGGGGTGTCAAGAATGTGTTTAAACTGGGGAAGTTATATTGTTTAAAGAGATTCCAGTTTGGGGCTATGTGTTTAGAGTTTTCACCAGGGTTTTGGTTTTTATAATATCACAAGTGCCTTTGCCATTAAGCATAAAAAGAATCTTATAACTATTGATTCATATAATGAAAGAGCTTTCAAAGGTTCATGCCAACTCAATACCTTCTAGCAATGTTCTACTTGGTTCACCATAGTCTTGCTAACAATGGTATTATAATTCACATTTTTTTTTATTATTTAGCAAGTTGTTTCTTTCTGGGAGGTTGGGGTTTGGGACCTTATCTGGCGATGCTCAGAGTTGCTTCTGGCTCTGCACTCAAGAATCACTCCTGGTGGTGCTCAGGGGACCATATGCCAGGAACCAAACCCAGGTTGTCCACTTGCGAGGCAAATACCTTACCGTTTTGTACTGTGGCTCCACCCCCTCTTACTGTTATCAAGCCCAGCAGTACTCAGGGCTTACTTCTGGCTCCACAGTCAGAAATCACTCTTGGCAGGCTCAAGGGACCATATGGGATACTAGGGAACAGACCCAGGTAGTGCATGCAAAGCAAGTACCCTAGCCTCAATATTATTGCTCCAGCACCTATTATTGTTTTAAATAGAGTTTTTTTGCTTAAGATTTAAGATCTATTTTCCCCAAGGATATAATTTTGAGGGATAAAAATTATATGCAGGAATTTATTATAGAGTTTTGTGATCAGAAGCCAAGCAATGCTAAATGAAATATTTTCCAACTGTTATAAAATAATTATTTTGAATGATATAAGGGGCTGAGGTCTCCAAGCCTACTCGGATTGGGACTGGGCCTTCTCCACCCAGACCCCCTATCTTCCAGTAGGTAGGCGTCACACCCACCAGCAGCCACCAGCTCCAGGTTGGTCCCATCAATGGCCAAGACACAGAGACTATAAAATCCAGCTCCTGGAAGTGCGTGGCCGCATTCACAGCCTCACGACATCTTATTATCTTATTTTTCCTTTGGAGAACCTGGCAGGCTACCAAAAGTATCCTGCCCGCACGGCAGAGTCTGGCAAACTTCCTGTATCATACTCAATATGCCAAATACCAGTAACAATGATGGGTCTCATTCTCCTAATCCTGAAAGAGCATTGAAATGGCTCTTTTAAAATCTCAGGGAGACGTTACTGGTGCCTGCTCGAGGCAATCAATGAACAACAGCATGATAGTGATCGTGATCGTGATGTAGCAACTTGGAAAATGCTTGCAAGATTTAAACAAATATATACAGAAATTTATAAGTCGAGTCTAAAATGTCTAAAATACTTATTAAAATTAATAAATAGTCTAAAAAAACAATACAAAGTATGTAAGGTAGATATTATGACCATCTAAACTAAACTTTGTAAATAAAAGCTGGGCAGGAAATAGAACAATAGTCATACAAGGTTATAGAATAAGATAGGCAAGATTTTTACTTTTCTTTCACAAGTGACTTGTATAACATAAATTTTCTTCCGATTTTTATGGAAGCACTGTGATTTGCAACACTGTTACTAATAGAGGTTCATGCATGCAGTGTTCTAACATCATATCCACTACCAGAGAATTGAACATAAACATTAAAAATGTATTTGTTCTTCTATAAAAACACCATTTTGTTATTATCATTATTATGCTCTATGATTCAGAAGATAGACATGAGAAAATTGAAAGTGAATAAAAGGGCTGGAGAGATAGTATAGTGGGTATAGTGCTTGCCTTGTATGCAGCCAACGAGGGTTCGATCCCCAGCCTCCCATATGGTCCCCTGTGCACCACCAGGAGTAATTCCTGAGTGCAGGGCCAGGAGTAGCCCCTGAGCATCACAGGGTCTAGCAAAAAAAAAAAAAAAAAGCAAATGAAAGTGTTAGGTTTCAGGAAACTTTGCTTTCTTCCCTGATGATTTCTTTAAAATTTTACTTTTGGGGTAGCTAATTGAATCATCCCTTTTATGTTTCCTTGAGTCAAACTTTGTCTCCCTCTCTGCAGGGATATATCACTCCAATGGATTATATTTGGTTGAGGCATCTGATTCCAGATGTTCTTCTGAACAACAAGGACTCTCTCTTTGGGAATATTAGAGAACTCTATGAATTTCATAACAGGTATATCACCATTAAAATTAACCAAGAAACTGACAAGGCTGAAGGCAGACTGATGGGTCCAAGGTGCAGGAGTGCAGAATGGGGTGGGGGTGGGTTCGGGGCAGGGAATGTGTAGACATTTTCAAGTTGAAGTCAGTAGTTCAGAATCTATTGGGTGGGTTAGGGTGGGAGGGGAACACAAATGAGGGACGAAATGCCACGGGATCCCTGAAGAAGAGGAAGATACTCACAGAGCATATGCTCATCGCCAGGCACCCTGTCTCCGTTTGTGTGTTCCTTTGCTTCGCGATATCCCTTCATGCATTAACACTGACTGGGCACCTGTCCATTTTCTGGTGCTTATGTTTGCTCACGTTGGGAATACAGAGGTGTCCGAGACTCACGCCCACTTATTTCTTATCGAACAGGAGTGCTGAGCAGGTGGAGTTAGAAAATGCTAACTGGTCAGACAAGTTGTGCTTGTAGCCCAGGGGGCCCTTAGGGGTTGACATCTAGAGAACTCAAGGAGAGGAGGTCTCTGGAAATGATCTTTCCTTTTCATTTCTCTCTTGTAAATTTTCTTTCATTTTCCAATTTTGTGAGAAAATATTTTTTTCATTTTTGTTTCTCTTCTGTACAACCCTTTTATTGTACAAAAGAGAAAACCACCGTTTGCTGCCATGACCCCAAGATCAGATACATGGTGGTTGGAGTGTGGTAGAGATGGCAGCTTGGTTGTTCTTAATCGTATCTGGTGGCATAGATGAGACAGAAAGCTGAAGAGGAAATACCATTTCAGCTACCTCCCCTGATAGAAGTGATTCCACCTCTTTGAGTACATGCACGGCAAGTGCTCTACCACTGAGACACGCCTGGCCCTTCAGAGTTGCCCTTTGAAATTAAATTGATTTTAGGATAGTTTTTGATTGACAGAGAAATTGCAAAGATAATAGAGTTCCTACAGGCCTCACGCTGTTTTTAATATATTATCTACATTAATACGGTAAATATTTCACAACTAATGCGCTAATACTGATACATTCTTAAGTGCATATCTATGCCAGACACAGTAACAACAAAGTCTCCAATGGAGACGTTACTGGGCCCGCTCGAGCAAATCGATATTTCCTTAATTAAAAAAAATTCATTTAGTCACTGTGAAATAGCAAAGCTACTCATGATTGGGTTTCAAAAGGCATGCAATGTTTCAACAATGTCCACTTCCTTCCACCAATGCCCATCCCCACTTGCTTCCCACCCACCAGTCTGCTTCTGCATTTTTGCACGGTGGGTTACAGCCCTGTTACTGATAGGTTCTCCTACATGACACATTACCACCTTTCAGCATCACCTCCTCCTCCAACTTGAACGTGTCCCTCCACCATAAACATTGCCCCCTCCCTGTCCTATCCCCCAGCCTCCTCAAGGGGCCTGTTTCAATTGTCATGTTCTTGGTTTTCAGTGTCTTTGTGCATTCATTACTCTACCATGATGTTTCTTTATATCCCACATATGAGAGAGATCATTCTGTGGGACTCTCTCTCCTTCTAAGATCACACAGTGTGATTACTCTCCAGGTGCCTTGCCAAGATTTTGGTTAAGGAAGAAACGAGGTGGTACTCAGCGTAACTTCTGCCTTGGCTTGCTGTAAGCTCACAAGGATTTCAAACCGAGCAGCTGCCACTGTACTGGTTCTTATTAAAATCCTTGTCCTGTAGCACAAGGATCAATGTATGCAACTGTCTCCAACTAGTGTTTAGTACAACCAGGAAAGTCCTGAGAATCCTACTACATTTTTTCCTTCTAAATCGGCACCGGAGGTGGGTTGGAATCCTAACCATGTCACAGAATACATTTCCCCCACTTCCAAATCAGGTGTTGAAGCTGAGTCAAGAGCAATAAATCCTGAAGAACCACATTTTTTCTAGGCACATCTTCAAACCGTAAAGTGTCTTATAACCTCATGTGATTCTACTTCAACTAAAACACATACACATTTTTTTTTTAAATCAAAACATTCTTGTACCTCTTTTCCCCACCTAGGACTTTTCTAAAAGAACTGGAAAAGTGCTCTGAAAATCCTGAACTTCTGGCACGGTGTTTTCTCAAGCGAGTAAGTCTGTGCTCCCATGCATCCAAACTGAAGGCAACCCGTAACCAGCAGCAAGGGAAGTAGAAACACAAAGGGTCAAGTTTTCTGTCTATCTCTTGAATGCAAATTAGAGGCCAGCACAGGAAGTGCTCTGCCAGTGTGAGAAGATCCCTCTTAGCTGTGAGCTGGAAGCAACTCTCAAGTCTGACTTCTTACAAAACCAAGTAAAATGGAAGACGCCCTCCCTCTTCCCATTCCAGCTCCTCCTCTGAATGACTAAATTCACAGTTTTAGGAGAAGAATCACACCTGGGGCTTAAATTCCTCACTCAAGTTGCATTAGTCACCTCCAGAGAAGTATTGAGCTCCTGTCTACAAATCTCAGATGATCTAGTTCTTTCATTTTATTTTTCACAGCCTAGGCATGTTGGGAAAAATTTAAGTCTTCGGTCTCTCTTAGCTTTAGTACCTAATCTCTGAACTTCCAATCCATCAACTCCGTACCTCTGAGCATCTCCCTTTGGGGAGGTACCTCTTGGGAAGGACTGATTCCTTCTTGCAGCTTCTCCCCATGCATGCTTTTGGCCTTACACATGCTGTTGAAGCCAGTGGTGCTCCAGGGACATTGGTACCTAGAAAGGTTCAATTTGGCATCTGCCCACAAAGGGCTTCCTACTCAGAGGAAGGCTAGGCAGAGGATTTAGAGCCGCTCCCCCACCCCTGACTTCTCCCATTTTTCTTCTCTCTCCCAACTTTCCCCTTCCGCCCACCACCCCCTTCCTTGTTTTGCACTTTGTGAATCTAAGACAATACATCGAGCCACTTAAAACTTTTAAACAACACAGGTCATGCCCAATCAGTTGTAAGTGTGGTATTGGTAATAAACAGAAAGCAAGCGAACCTCAGATCTCCAGGATTCAGGGTATTTGATGCAGGGGAGAAACACAACCTTCATTTTCTGGAGGTTTAGAAGAACTCTCCTCTGCCTCAGTGAATGTCTTTCTGTGTATGCTCATCACGGGTTTTTCACCCAGTACCAGAATTGAAGATACCCTGCAAACCACTTTATATTCATGTTGATGGATTTCCTTTCTGAGTGACTCCTCTGGCATCATTGGTGTTTTATACTGTTTCTGCACCCCTGCACCCCTCAAATCACCAATTTGGAAGCTAGTTTAGAAATATTTTTAGGGACTGGAAAGATAGCACAGCAGGTAGGGCTTTTGCCTTGCATGCGGCCGACCCGAGTTCAATTCACAGCAATCCCATATGGTCCCCTGAGCACCATCAGGAGTAACCCCTGAGTGCAGAGCCAGGAGTAACAGGAGTAACCCCTGTGCATCGCCAGGTGTGACCCAAAAAGCAAAAAAAAAATTTTTTTTTAAACTAAATGCTCTGACATTATTGTGAAGACTTTTAAAAATTGTCCAATGAGGGGCTGGAAATATAGTACAGTCAGTAGGGGTCTTGCCTTGTATGCGGCTGACCCAAGTTCAATCCCTGGCACCTTGCATGATCCCCCAAGCCCTCCAGGAGTGAGCCCTGAAGGTAGAGCCAGAAGTAAGCCCTGAGTACCACCAGGTATGGCCCAAAAGCCAAAAAATTTAAAAAAAAAATAAATAAATTGTCGAATGAAAAAGTACCAAATTCATGTGGAGTGGGAGAGTAGATATTATCAAGTAAAATTGTTCAACTATGAGGAAATAGTCAGAGAATTACTGGCTATGTATTCATTCAAGGATTTATTCCTCTCTAAAAGCTTTACAGAGGGATTTATAAATCATTACTGCAGACCATGAACTGCATATAATCTTAAATGAGTTATGCTATTAGAGATCACAATAGGCCATAAATTCTTTTCCTGTTTTGTTTTGGAGCCACACCAAGAAGTGTTCAGGGCTTTCTCCCAGACTCTATGCGCTGGGATCACTTCTGGCAGCGCTGGGGAGAGGGGTGTGGGGGTGCCCATATGTGGTGCTGGAGATTTGGACAGGATCACCTTGTATGCAAGGCAAGTATTTAACCTCCTGTACAATCTCTTCAGCCCCATGTGTCATAAATTCTTATCAAGCACAAGGTGATTAGTCTGGGATACAGGAACCACTGCGTAATCTCTAAGTGTCCTTGAAGGACTACTTGGACAGTTATATAATCTTTGAGTGCCCTTGAAGGAATGCTTTGACTGCTGCAATACAAAGACTTCAATCTGTCAACCAATAAAGCAAATCTCGCATCCTTCTGTATTAGAACAGTTCTTCTTTGCTCGATAATATTTACAGAATTCTACTAATTATGGAACTGAATTTTGAAGTATTGCTTCGGTCAAGTTTTTTAATTAGATTCTGCAGCCTGTGACATCTGGGAAGAGATCTCCCAGGCCGGCTTCCTCTAGATAATTTCTGTCAGTAGTTTTGCATTGAGTTTGGTTTGCTTTGAAATTTCACATGGTACTCTGGAAAGAGCATTGGGATGAAATCAGGAAACCTAACTTCTTACTTAAGGTATTACTTGTTATCTGCATGATCTCTACTGAATCACTTAAATTCTTAGAGTGTCACTCCTTTTACAGGGTTAATAATGCCATTATCTGGGACCAGAGAGATAATCCAGTGGATAGGGCCCTTGCTTTGCATATGGCAGACCTGAGTTTGATCCCAAGCACCCCATGTGATCCCCCAAGGCCTGAGAGGAATGATCCCTGAGCACAGAGCCAGGAGTAAGCCCTGAGCACTGATAGGTGTGGCCCCCAAACAAAATAAAACAAAAATAATAACACCAACATGTAAAGTTGTGGAAATCAGAGAAAACAGTGCATCCAGAGGCTTCTGCAAAGGAAAACAAGGGGCGTGTTACAGTAACTACCATTTTTGAGTATTTTGCATGCATGGGTCAATTGCTGAGGCTTTTATATACATCATCGTTGAATCTCACAGCAGTCGTACTCTATTACAAACCCAGTTAACAGGAGAAATGAGTATAAAAAGATTAAGTAATTGGCTTTGACCCATATAGTTTGTCATAATACAGTTTGACAAAATCAAAAGTAGAGCCCGGGATCCACCACTAGAATTCGTGGTCATAATCCATAAGCAATCATATGCCTTTGAAAATATAAGTGTCGGGTAGCAATTTTAGCTCCTTGATTTATGCTACATTGAGTGGAAGGGAAAGCTGATATTTTCATAGCCTATTAGTTCATTCCTCTCTCCAGAGAATTCTGAACTAAAGATCAAATGCAGGCCCGTAATTGTATTTTAGGCCTTGAAGGCCAGTAATGTTCTGTGTTGCTGAAAGGGCAGAGGCAGGATCAATATTCAGTTTTCAGGAAAGCAGTTCGGCATCTGCCAAGGGAACCAAGATCCCTCTTTGTTTCTAGGAGAGCTTGAGGAAAGGTAGCTACGGTTGAGGATGTATCTTTGGGCGGGAGGCTGGTTGGTCTCCCAAGCATCGTCTGGCTTCAGAGAAGCTTTTTCTGTGGCTGAGTATTGAAAACAGTGAAACCTGAATGCTTTTTTTTTTTTTTAACAAATCTCTATGCCAATATTTTGGTGCATAAAATGACCACACATGTGGGTGAGATGTCTTAATCTGCTCGTTTTAGAAGTCTGGCCTCCATTATGGCAGGGATAGCATGTCTTTGCTATCATACCATGGGAGCCACTAAGTTTAGCAAATGCCCAGGACTGGAGAGGTAGCTCGGAGGGCTGAGCGCAGGCTCTCATGGCCCTCTAAGCACTGCCAGGAGCAATCCGAGCCCAGAGCTGGGAGTGACCCCTGAGCACCAGCAGGTGTGGCCCTGTCCCCTCCCCCCACTACAAAAACAAACAAATGCACAGAGCATGACTTCAGGCACCTCCTAGAGCAGAGGGTAGTTCTAGAGTGAATGATTAATGGTTGTATTGTTGTGAAGCTCTGAGTTATTCTGGTTTCTTAACCTCACAACATTTCTCAGGGGCTGTCTCTATTTCCCAGGCATGTGTGTGTGTGTGTGTGTGTGTGTGTGTGTGTGTGTGTGTGATCCTCACAAAAGTTGCAAAGGACCACTTCCCACATGCTGGGGAAGGGGAAAAGCTACAGGAATGGAGATCATTCCTCCATAGCAATGGTTAGAAGCAGAATAGACACGCTGGAGACTGCAGAGAGAAATCAGCCAGGTCCAAGTGAAGGACGGTCACAGAAATCCGCAGGCAAGGGTCACGAACGGCTCCTTGGTGTGTGGCAGTGAGCTGGATCCGGTTCTCCTGGAGAAGCTGGCCAGTGGACCCCATGGGCCGGAGGTGTCCTCTCAGCCTGCATTTTAGCAGGTGTGTGCCCACCTCATCTGGTGCCCTTTGGTGCCAGAGGCCTGAGATCACACAGCACTTGGAATCCCTCTTAATGGCCAGTCGGGAGAAGGCCCTCCGCCGATTCTGCTGTCCCTGAGTCTTATTTGTTTGTTTTCTTTTGGGGCCACACCTAGACTCAGGGCTTACTCCTTGCTCAGTCTTAGGAATCACTCCAGTGCTCAAGGGACCGTATGGGGTATCAAATCAAACCCGGGTCAGCCACTTGCACCCACTGTCCCATGTCTCTGGCCCTAAGGCCTTGTTCTAGGGCAAGAAGCAGAACATCTGCTTTGCTCACGGGACTTCAGTCTGTGTCCAAGTGGTCCCATTTTCCTACGGGGATGTTTCTTAGGTTGTTTTGGGTTTTACTTTTTATTTGTTTGTTCATTAGGGTTGAGGCTGTTATTTGTGCTAAGCAACGAGTGAGAGGGAATAGGGGACAGCGTTCCATCACCAGCACTTCTGTTAGTTTGTCACTCTCTGAAGGACCGTCCGGGGAGCTGCCAGGGATCTGGGTGGAGTGCAGCGGGGAAGCAAAGCTCTGTGGCAGCTCCTCTGGGTCAACTTGTGTGTTTGTTCTGCTGCCGCTCCCACCTCTCTCATTCATTTTCATGTTTAGTGCTCAGGGTACTTGGTAACCCTCTGCTCGCCTCCCGAGGCACTCACCCCAACTTAAGGTTACTTATCCTACATTCCCCATTCCTTACACCTGGAAATACTCTATTGCATGAATAAATAAACTGTGTTATCCTGTCCACTTACTGAAAAAAAAAAAAGAGAGAGAAAGAGACTTAATTAATTTGTGTTCATTTTTCTCCCCACTCAGAAAGAAGATCTTCAAATATATTTTAAATACCATAAGAATCTACCCCGAGCCAAAGCAATTTGGCAAGAATGTCAAGACTGCGCCTACTTTGGGGTAACTTGGAGATTAGTCTCCCTCAAACTGCTTCCCCCTGGTTAATGTTTATGTGCATCAGTCATTTTTTAAGGGGAAACAGACACTTGGCCCATACCCCAGCAGTGCTCAGGACTAACTCTGTGCTCAGGGCTTGCTCTGGTGGGGATCAGGAGACCATACGGGGTACTGCATGTTAAATCTGGTTTAGCTGCATGCAAGGGAAGCGCTTTACTCATTGTACTGTTTATCTGGCCCCTTGCACACCAATATTTTTTGTTTGTTTGGTTTGGGGGGGCCGTACTTGGAGATGCTCAGGAATTACTCCTGGCAGTATATAGGGGACCATATTGTGATGCTGGGGATCGAACCCAGGTCAGTTGCATGCAAGGAAAGAGCCCTACCCTCTGTACTATCTCTCCAGTCCCAGTGTTTTGTTTTGTTTTGTTTTAAGAAATTAAAAAAGAATGAACGAGGGGCTGGAGTGATAGCACAGCGGGTAGGGCATTTGCCTTGCACGCAGCCGACCCAGGTTTGATTCCCAGCATTCCATATGGTCCACTGAGCGCCGCCAGGAGTAATTCCTGAGTGCAGAACCAGGAGTTACCCCTGAGAATCGCCGGGTGTTACCCAAAAAGAAAAAAAAAAAGAATGAGTGAGGCAGAACAATTGACGGTAGGGTTAATGTTTATTCAAAGTCTCCCTCCTTTAGAAAGCACCAGAAGTTTTGGTGCTACTTTGGTCTTTGTGGATTCCAGGCATCTTTTGGTTGTTACAAACCCAGACTCCTTTAGAATGAGTCTGAAGAATAAAATTAAGTCCAAAAGGTGACTCTCACGAGTGTTGTGGAATGATAGTTCTGTCGGCTACCACTTTACCTGTAGACTCCACATGACCTAGATAGATCCGACCCCTCTGACTGTTGCCTCTAAGGAGGGTCTGAAGCACCCCCTCCCCACCTCCTAGTGGATTTGCCTTCTAAAGGGAATCAGTGGTCCTGCTTCCCTGGTTGCCTGTGGAAATATTAGCTGCTTCCTGTCTCCTTCTCTTCCCCCTTAATCTCACACTGATCCCTGAGGGATTGAACAACTAATGATGAAAGGGTTCTCGCCATTTCCCTGCTGGTTCCCGAGGAACCTGTTTCATTTCTTGTATTTAAACACGACTACCTTTTGTCCTGTGGGGGGAGGATGGGAAGGGGAATCGATCTTGTTTTCATGCTGTTCCTGCTTGGTCTTCTAAGGTGTGCCAGCGCCAACTGGATCACAATCTCCCCCTTCTGAAGTATCTTGGCGGACCAAGCGAGAGGTTGGTGAAGTACCAGCAGCTGTTGAAGGTAAGGCCCACGGTGGGGAGTTTCTGGGTGGGAAAGCAGACCCGGTTATACTGAGGTGTTTTCCCTGAGCCGGTCAGGGCTGGGGCTTCCTCTACCTTTGAGCCCTTTCTGCCCTCCGAGTCTGACTTGTGGAGGATAATACCAGAGAATCCAGGAGTCAGAAGGGGCCTGGACATCCGCGTGATTGGCAAGCCCGGCTGAAGAGAAGAGAGGCTTCGGGGAACACAGACAGAAAGGGACATGACCACTCTGCTGGCACCGTGGGGGTGGGGGCAACCAGAGCTTCTAGTCCATTCTCTTGTGAAATGTAGCTAGTACCTATAGCTAGTGTGGGACCTTCCTTATGCTTCAGGAAGGATATAGAAGTCTAACGAGGGTATAGAAGTCAAAAACACTAAGGTATTTTTTTAAGCAACTTTCTACAGAATAAACAAGAGACAGAATCACTCTCATATATTCCTGCCCCCTCAGGGGCATCTATGCAAAACTCTAGAGGTAACTCAAGGCAAACAGAGTTTTCTCATAGTCTAGCTTGCTGCATGCTCTGGAAACCAGAAGCATACCTGGGAAGAAAGGAAGAACTTTGCAGGGTTCTGTCTGTACTCTGAGAACATGGTTGTTGAACTGATAGCCCCTGCTTTAGAAAGAATCATGGGATACTGGTGTGGGAAAGTCTTTCTAAATACAAAATAGATGATGATGACAATGATGATGATGATGGTGATGATGATGATGATGATGAGGAGGAGGAGAATAAAGGGGGCTGAAGTCTTGGTATAGCGGGTAAGACGCTTGCCTTGCACTCACCTACCTGGCTTTGGTCCCTGGCACCTGCTATGGTCACTGCAGCCCACCAGGAGTGATCCCTGAGTGCAGAATCAAGAGTAAGCCCTGAATACTGCTGGATGTGGCCCAAAAACAAAAACAAAAAAAAAAAAAGAAAGGAAGAGAACAGAATAATAGATTATACCACTTCAAAACAGATAGGAAGAGCCATAGTACAGGAATTAAAGCATTTGTTTTGCCAGGAGTGATCCCTGAGCCAGGAAGTAAACCCTGATCATCACCGTTGTAACTTCAAAACCAATAAGAACAAATGATACAAGAATGAAAAAAATAGGAACAATATTATATGTGACAAATATTGTGTGTAGCTAATGATCTGCGGCCTTTATTATGAGCTCTGTAGCACTGCAGCACTGTCCTGCCGTTGTTCATTGATTTGCTCCAGCGGGCACCAGTAACATCTCACAACAAACTGTGAGACTTGTTACTGTTTTTGACATATGGAATATGTCACGGGGAGCTTGCCAGGCTTTGCCGTGCAGGTAAGACACTCTCAGTAGCTTGCCAGTTTCTCTGAGAGGGGCAGAAAAATCGAACCCAGGTCGGCCATATCTTACAGAAATTAATACAACAACAACAAAAATTAGGGGCCAGAGCAATAGTACAGCAGGTAGGGCACTTGCCTTGCATGTGGCCGGCCCAGGTTCAACACCTCACATCCTGTTTGGTCCCAATGCCCACCAGAAGTGATTCCTGAGTGTAGAGTCAGAAGTAAGCCCTGAGCACAGCTGGGTGTGGCCCAAAACCAAACAGAAAATAAAAACAAAAGATACCTATGAAATGCTTGCAATCTTATTTCAGATATTATGAAATTACTAGTCATCACAAAGAGTTTTTTTAAGACAATGTCTAGTGAGTCATGGCAAGTTGATTAGACAACAAATTATTTATCAACATACATTAGAAGTAGATGGATTTAAGGACAACAGAAATATGCTTTCATTGTGCTCAGACTGCTTTAAACAGGACAAATGATTTATGAAAACTCAAATTTAATGTAGGAAATTTTTCTTGCCTGGATTTTGGTTAATTAAGATTGTTTTGCAAAATGAAACATTATAAATTTACTGGAAGGAGGTAGTTCTGAAATCCTGAAATAGATGGTTATGCTGGTTCTCTGTGCAATTTGACTTCTAGGAGAAATATTTGTCTTCTTAAATATTAATCAATTAGTATTTTTAAAAAATGACAGGAGAGGTTGATAGAAGGTATAGCCCTTTAGTGTAAAACACAATGGTTGCAGTGGACATTGATATTGTTCAATTAAAATTTGCTATGCTGAAAGTAGTCTGTAGACCGAACATGATTGCCACTCAATGCCTCTTTTGCAAACCACAGCACCCAAAAGGAGAGAGAGAACAAAAGGGAATGCCCTGCCACAGAGGCGGGGTGGGATGGGGGGGGGGCGGGTTGGAGGGACTGGGATCACTGGTGGTGGAGAATGGGCACTGGGTACTCGATCATTGTATAACTGAAACCCAAGCACAATAATTTGTAAGTCTACAACTGTACCTCATTGTGTTTCACTAATAAAAATTTAGAAAATAAATAAATAAAATTTGCTAAAGAATAGGAATTCTTTCAGTATATATATGTATATATATATTATGTATAATGTATATAACAAAACAAACACTGTCTTCCCATTGTTTATCGATTTGCTCAAGCAGGCCCAGTAACATCTCCATTATGAGACTTGTTATTACTGTGTTTGGCATATTGAATACATCATGGGTAGCTTGCCAGGCTTTGCCATGCGGGCGAGATGCTCTCAGTAGTTTGCCAGCCTCTCTGAGAGGGGCGGAGGAATCAAACCCGGCTCAGCCGGGCTGGCTGTGCGCAAGGCAAACGCCCTACTCCTGTGCTGTCACTCCAAACCATGATTATATATATGTGATATATATGTGTGTGTATATATACAGTATATATACATATAGGCTGGGGGCAGGTGAAACTAGTTTTCTTTCTCTAGAGAACTTGTCATCGAAACTCTTAACATTGACAATTTCAGTGCTAGGAATTTATCCTTGAGAAACAAAACAAAGATTACTATTATGGTAAAAAATTGTTTGAACTTAAATGTTCCATAACGTTGTGATTTGTCAATAGGATATAATATTCTATCACAATTAAGAAGCATAAATTAAAATCATAATTTCATGAGAAAATGTTCATGATAGTGATGCTACATAGAAATATCAGGACACCAAATAATGCATTTAATTTATTCTATGTTTGTGAAAATAACTTCCTGCCAAATATGTCATTCATTCTTCTTGGTGATCAGCACATTTATATACATATCTAGTAGGCTAGAATTGAAGATGCTTTGCCTGGTAGGTTTTGCTGGTGTTCTACTTTCCAATGTTCAATGCAGTTTTTGGACCCATGTAGGGTCTGCTGGATCTTGTGTCTCCTGCGGATTTGGAGATAGACCGGAGCAACCTTGAAGGAGATTCAGCTAAGGTACAGTCTTCAATATGGTTTTTATGTCATCAACTGTGAATGTTGTTTGTCTCTGGGTGGTTGGACTTAAAATGAATTTTTCTTTTTTTTTATAATCTTTATTAGGTATTTTTTGAAAATAGTATGTATTCTATAATTTAGCCAGAAAAAAATTAATAATGATTTTTAAGCAATATTTGTACCTGATTAGGTGCTAATATATTATCTTCTTTCCACATAAAAATGGAAACTATCAGCAATACAAAAGAAAGTGAATGTGTAAAAAAAAAAAATTCTACAAAAGACCAGAAGTAAATTGGATAAAAGTTATTGTGGTTTTCCTACATGGTGGGATTATGAATTATTTATATTTACATCTCTGTACTTCTCAATATATATAATTTATATATTGTGCCCTGTGTTATCCGTGTGTGTGTGTGTGTGTGTGTGTGTGTGTGTGTGTGTGTCCCTTAAAGAGCAGATCTCTTAGAGGAAATGTTGACCTGACAGATTAGGAAGAAATGTGTGACTTCACAGTGGAGTTTCTTTCAAGGTTCCCCAGGATGTTCTGAGTTTAATAAGAAAAACATCAGGGGGCCCGGGTGGTTAAGGGACCTGCCTTGTGCACAACCGACCCAGGTTCTATTGCCAGCACCACATATGGTCTCCCAAGCCCTGCCAGGAGTGATCCCAGAATGCAGATCAAGGAATAAGTGTGGAGCACTGCTGGGTTGGCCAAAAAGAGCAAACAAACAAACACAAACCCACCAGGCATGTGTGTTTCGAAAGGCAGTCAGGTGCATGTGCTGTCATGTGGGACCCCTTGAAATGAGATTCAGGCCCAGATGTGGAGCGCGGGGGTGTAGCCTGAGCAAGAGGGCTTTGATGGTGTTTGAGTGTTTCTGCCCCCCTGCATCACACACTGTAAAATAAGCAGCCACATGATCTGTGGGAGTACGACTCTCCCTGGGAGGAGCAAGACTGTTAACAGTGCAGCCTCTAACAGGAAGGAGACTTGTGCTGCGTGAAGAAGCAGCCTGGCATGAGGCCTTTTAATTCCTTGTTGATGACGTTGCCGGAAATTCATGTGAGAGTGTCCTCCACCAGGAACTGAAGCATATTTACTGTGAGGGAGAAGGCAAGAACCCAGGGGAAACTGGCCAGGGGAGCAGGTTCATCTCCTCTGTTCAAAAGCCTGATCAGGGGCTGGAGTGATAGCACAGTGGATAGGGCGTTTGCCTTGCACGTGGTCGACCTGGGTTCGATTCCCAGCATCCCATATGGTTCCCTGAGCACCACCAGGAGTAATTCCTGAGTGAAGGGCCAGGAGTAACCCCTGTGGTTTGTCGGGTGTGACCCAAAAAGAGAAAGAAAGAAAGAAAGAAAGAAAGAAAGAAAGAAAGAAAGAAAGAAAGAAAAACGAGCCTGGGCATTCCAATCTCCGATTCGAAGAGGCTGACCTCTAGTTTGTTGGCAGTGATGACAGAAGTGGGCATCCTTTGCTTACATTCTACCACAGAGAACAAAAAGAAATGAAAAGAAATGAGTTGCAGGAAAGATTTTTCTTCAGGGGTTGGAGTGATAGCACAGTGGGTAGGACATTTGCCATGCATGCGGCCAACCTGGGTTCGATTCCCAGCATCCCATAATGTTCTCAAGCACCGTCAGGAGTAACTCCTGAGTGCAGAGCCAGGAATAACCCCTGTGCATTGCTGGGTGTGACCCCTCCAAAAAAAGAGATTTTTCTTCATGGTAGAAACTTATGTAGTAAAATAAATAAATAAATTGGAGAGATAAAAATCTTTTATTGTTTATGATTTATTTCCCAAATAAATATGCTGTACAGCATTGAGGGGGTAAAAATACCAAACCTTTCCAGCTGAGACAGTCACACCCATCATTTGTAAAGGTCACACAGCAGGAAGAATGAAGATGTTGGTCTCTTAAAGGAGCAGCGAGAGATTTTTCCACCTAACGCTGACTTGGTTATTTGGGGGCTGGCCCCTCCAGAAACCCCTTGGCTTACCTCTTGGGCCTCTTGGGTGATGATGAAAAGTGAGGAGGGCTAGGGAAGTTGTGGAGTGAGGGCAGATTTGGGAGAGGTTCCAGGTGGCCAATGTAAACATGGGTTTACACACAATCGTTAGTGACCTCCCTGTAGGTTGCCCATTCCTCCCAGCTGGAGGAGTTCACGGATAGCCTCTGATGTCCTGGTTTTAAGTAATTGCTCCCATAAGAATAAGAATTTTGGAACTTGGGTGATATTACCCTAGGTTGGGCTCTCTCCTCACACATGGCCAACCTTGGATAAATCCCTGGTACCCCACATGATCTCCAGAGCCCACCAGGTGTGATCTCTGAGCACAGAACCAGGAGTAGGCCCTGAGCACCATGACTGTGTTTTCTCCATCCCCCTCAAAAGAATCTCACATTAACTAGATGAATTTTATGTTAAAGCTCTTCCTCTCTCAAGACTCAAATATTGCTCCACTATACTAATGCTTTTGTGGTACGTTTTCTTTTTTGGTTTTGGAGAGGGCTAACATCCAGGAGTAATACCCATCATTGCTCAGGGCTTCCTCCTGGCTCTGCACTCAGGAATCACTTCTGTTGGGTTCGGGGGACTAGAAGAGATACCAGGTATCGAACCTGGGTTGGCCGCAGGCTAGGCAAGTGCCAGACCCACTCGCTATACTATCGCTCTAGCCCTCAAATTATACATTTTCAATAGGTCCCAGGGGGACGGATGTAAAGGGAGAGCAACTTACGAAGCACGGCTGGGTTTCATACAGTAGAAAAGCCCAGCGTGGTCCTTCTGTAAGCAGGAACTCATGACTTTAGAAACCCCATTCTTCACAACAGCACAGTGTTTGCCGGTGTGGTTGAAAGTTTTGCTTGTGTGGAAGGATCATTTACTTTGGCCATCCTTCTGGGGGACAGGGAAGCTAATAGACAGGCTCATCCTCTGTCACTCCCTGTTGGCTGCATCCTGGGCTCTGCTTTTGTTTCCTTTGCAGTGGGGTTACCTTTTAATTTCCAATAAGGCATTTGGTTTCCACAGAGTGGGTCGAAAAGGACCAAGGATTCGGCACTCTCAGCTGAACTCCAGCAAGCAGTGGCCATGATGGAGGATTTGATAAAGTCCTGTGAGTTGGCAGTGGACCTGGCAGCAGTTACTGGGTGTCCGGTATGTTGTTGTTGTTGTTGTTTTGTTTTTGCTCGGGGACCACACCCAGTGGTGCTCCGAGCTCAATCCTGGCTCTGGGCTCAAGGATCACTCTTGGGGTATGGGGTGCTGGGAATCAAACCCAGGTCAGCCGAGGGCAAGGCAAGCTCCCCACCTGCAGTGCTACTGCCCTGGTCTTGGGGCTGCAAGCCCCAGAACATGTCACCCAGAAGGCAAATCAGATCTCCCAGAGACAAAAGGTGTTGTGGCAAAGTTCGAGAGTAGGACATGTGGAGAGGAACCCCAAAATCCACCAGCAAACCAGGACTGTGGGACACCAAGCACCTCTCAGCATTTTTGTGAATATACCCATTGTAGCACTGTAGCCCTTTCATCCTGTTGTTCATAGATTTGCTCGAGCGGGCATCAGTAACGTCTCCATTCATCCCTGTCGCATGCTAGTGTAGCCCAATGGTGTCTACTCACTCCAGGAACATGAACTGAAACTTGTTGTTACTGTTTTTGGGTAGCTTGCCAGGCTCTGCCGTGTGGGCGGGATACTCTCAGTAGCTTGCCGGGCTCTCCAAGAGGGGTGGAGGAATCGAACCCAGATCAGCAGGGCCAGCTGCACGTAAGGCAAATGCCCTACCACTGTGCTATCACTGCAGTGAGGCTTACCCACACTCTGAAAAGGACAAAAACAGAAATTCAGGGCCTGAACGCCTGTAGGCAGGGGGCAATGTGCTGAGGAGCGATGCAGTGCCTACCTTGTGGCGCTGTTACAAAATTAAAAGATTTCCCTTCTCTGTGAAAAATTACTTTGAAAATGGAAAGTGAAAGTCCGACCTCACTTTACAGACTGCCCCTTACAGTCTCCGAGTCCCTCCACCCAGATGGCTGAAGGGATGTGCCCGAGGAGGTCCTGCTGGCACCGAGCCGTCGCCTCTGCAGGCCAGCGCTTGGCTTTCAGGGCAGATCTGCACCTTTCTGGGGACTGGGACCTAATTCACCTCCTGCTGTTTCCCCTGTGCGTGTGGCCCAGATGTCCACACAGGTGTATTGGCCTTCTGTCCTGTCACAACAGGTTCCTCCCAGCTCCCATGGCCTAGGGCAGCATGGTGGGTTCTCTTGCATTCCACGGGGCTGAGGTAAAGTGCATTCTCCAGAAGCTAAACTCTGTGGGTTTCCCTGCACACCTGTGTTCGTAGGCGAGTTCACTACAGTAGCCAAGAGTCGGAAACAACCCAAAGCACCGCCTACAGATGAACGGATCAAGAAGTTGTGTTGTAAATATGCAAAATCACGCAGTTTGCAATAATGGGGCTGGAATTAGAGGAGATCATGCTGAGTGAAGTCAGTCAGAAGGTCAGGGACAGTTACAGAAGATCTCTCCTATGTGGACTTGAAGTTACACAGTGAGGCAGCAGCCAAGGGCCAAAGGCAGCACAGCAGGGTAACTGATCCACACAGTTGAGTTGGGGTGGGGTTGGGGGTTGAGAGGGAGAAGTGTTGGGTCCTCGGGGTGGGGAGGTGGGTACACTGGACATAGGCATGGCGTTGGAATTACATACATAGGGAACCATCACTAACAGTACAGTCATAGAACCTCAATAAAAATTAAGATAAGTAAATGAAATCTACGGGCTTCCCTAATGAAAGCTCTAGGGGAGAATCGGTCTCCTCGCGTCTCTAGCTTACAGACCTGACGCGTATTCTCCTGGCCTCTGCCTCTGTCTTCCAACCCCCCATGGGGGGTGCTGAGAACCTCTGGAATCAGTACTGTCACACTGACCCTTTCCCTTCCTCGGCCCTTTGGCCAACATGGGTGAAGACTCGGGTTCTCCCTCCCTCCCAGGTGCTCCCTGCTGATCACCCCATCTCCAGGTCAACTGAGACCATCCTTCCTCCTACAGCCTAAATGCCCCCCTCCCACCTGATATGGCCTCACATTCCTGGCATTAGAACACTGGCTTCAGCACAGGACCCTGTGTTCTGAGAATTATGTGTACAGACACTTTTCCTTCTCTCTCTTTTCCTTTGCATGTGTGTCTGAGTGGTGGTGATGGTGGTGGTGTGTATGCATATCTGTGTGCGTGTGGAATTGTTTCAGGCTACACCCTGATGTGCTGGAGCAACTCCCAGCTCTGTTTGAGGTTCTCTGACCTCGCACTGTGGGGGAACATGTGCTGCTGGAGTCTGCGGCTTGACAGAAGCAGAGTTGGTCACAGACCAGTCAAGTATCTTCCTCCTGCGCTCTCTGCCCTGCTCTCTCTTCTGTCCACCTGGTTTTAACAGACTGTGTGTGAGGCTTGGGCAGATGAAATGACCTTTGTTTTCCTTCCATGTCATAAATCAAACCATGCAAATTAATTAAGAGTGAAAAACTGTGATCTTTTTATTCCCCCTTCCTGGTAGTTCTCTGGCCAACGTCGTGGAAACAGTCCGTTGGGCTTGCTGCAATTCAGGTAACAAAGCTGCTCCTGTCCCCAGGACTCAAGTGGCCCCATTTATACTGATGCATAATTCCAGAGAACACTCAGAACTACAGTGTGTGTGTGTGTTGTGTGTGTTGTGTGTGTGTGTGTGTGACAGGATAGTTTTCTTGCTACTAATTTCTTCTTCAATCAAGGAAAGTCGAGAAAGCAATCTAATCATGTTGGAACATCTCTCTCTTCTTTTTCTTTGATCTTTGGACACATGTCAGCTACCCTATTAGATATGGATAGGGTCTCCATATCTACCCTATGGATATATCCATTTCCTTGAACAAAATGGCCTGAACATCTTACACAGGGCAAGAAATGCCGGGATACTATTTGGAGTATAAATAACACAGGAGGAGCAAGCTAGGAGGAAAAAGTGATGAAAGTGTGAATAAGAGCAATCTCTCCTCACTTTACACCATTCTGCAAGCAAAAAAGAGGAGCCTAGAATTAAGAGGCATCTAGAACCTAGGATTAAGAGGAGTCTAGAATTTTAGGTAGAATTCTGGAGCCCAGGGATTTGATTCATCAGTCAAGCACATGCCTTACATACATGAGTCCTGGGTTCCATCCCCAGCACCACAAAGGAAAGAAAACAAAAAAAAATAGAAGAAAAAACCCATAGAATTTAGAGATCGTAGAAGAAATGCAAAGAACTTTTCCCCAAGCTGCTCCCAGAATTGCACCTTCGACACATACTCTCTCTGCTTTTCTTTAGGACTTTAACTTGCTTTGCACCTACAACACTAGCTCATTCACTCTGACAGTTTTGTTTACTCCTGACGAATTGTGAAGGAAAAATGTGGGAATTTTCGACTTTCTGATTCAGGAATAGATCCACAGAAAGACGAGTGAACTTAGCCAAGATCAGGTGGATGTAATCCTGGACTGGTTCTTACAGCTCTTCCCTGGCTCCTTAGCCTAACACCTTCCTCCCTACACAGGCTTCTTCCAATCTGTTTAGATCATACTAACAGCTCCACCACTACGAATGCAGTTAATGACTCTGAGGTTCTTTGCCAAGAACTTTATCCCAAGGTGTTCACATACTGGTTGGCTGGGTGAATCCAGAACCTAACTGCTTGATTTGTTTACTTGTCTTCTAACACTAGTCTGATTTCATAAAGGAAAGAAATGAAACTTAGGGGGATGAATTTATAACTAAAACAACGTGAAAAAGTTCTTCTCGATATTTACATTTTCTCTCTATTGTACACAATTTAATTAATTCTGCATTTAAGTTAATCGCAGAGGTTTTAATTTGAAGGGAAAAGAAGACTTGAGGGCCCATACCCGGCATTGCTAAGGATCATTCCTGGCAGTGTCCACGGGACCAAAGGAGGACCAAACTCAAGTCAGCCACATGCAAGGCAAATGCCTGACCTGCTGTGCAGAGACCTCCAGTCTCTTAAGTTTTTTAAAAGAATGTTTTATTTGTGTGCTTGGCTTAAGCTTTCATTATAATTTCTTTCAAAAATCCCATATTTATTTTAATGATTTGGCTGTTGTAATGATTCATGTTTGCTTGTTTGATTTATGACTGCTGGTGTCAGGGCTTACTACTGGCAGTACTTTGGGGGACCATATGTGGTGTTGGGGACCCAATCCTGGTTGGCTGCATGCAAAGCTTGTGCCTTAACCATGGTACTATCTCTCCTGCTCCAATTTGAGTATATTACGAAACAATACAGGAAGAAACACCTAATAACATTTTTAAAGTTGAGGAATAATTGACATGTTCCTTCAGGTGTACAGTATAATTGTTTCAGATTACTGTATTATGGTCTCCAATGAGTAAATTTACCCTGTGTAAATTTTCATACCACAAGAATTGTTCCAATCTATAACTGGTACTCAAAGGTGGGGCTCTGGGTAGTGAATGAATTAGGTATTATACAGCTTAATAGTAGAGCAACAATGTATAATGTACAGCATGGACTTCACATAAGGCAGATTCCATTTCATCTCTGCAACAGCACATGGAACTAAGTGGGAGGGATAACATATTCTTTCCTGGCAGGGTAGCGGACGAGGCAAGTTCCCAAGTTAGGGAAGACACCGTGGGCTGGAGGCTCAGGACAGACCCCAGACAGAGAGCTCTAAGAGTGACCCGAGTCTCGTTTCTGTAGCTGATGGCCTGTAATAACCTGGGGCGAGTAAGTCACTAGGAAACTTGCTCATAAAGAGTCTGGCAAACTCCCCGTGGCGTACCCAATATGCCAAATACCAGTAGCAATGATGGGTCTCATTCTCCTAAAGAGCCTTGACTATAATCTCAGGGCTAGGATGAAGGAGATGTTACTGGGGCCTGCTCGAGGCAATCGACGAATAACAGGATGATTTGTGATTTGATTTGTGATTTGTGGGCCAGGGGATAGTGCAGAGGTTAAGCACTTTCCTTGCATGCAGTTAACCTAGGTTTGATCCCTGGTATTACATATGGTTCCCTGAATACTGCCAGAAGTGATTCCTGAGCACAATGCCAGGACAGTCCCTGAGAACCAGTGTGTACCCAAATCCTCTCCCTCCCCCCACCCCCCGTCTTTAAAAAAAATTTTGAACGCTGAGATGGAATTTATTTCCCTCTATTGCCAAGAAAAAAGTTTCCACTGTAGTCAATCCCTGTGCATAAGATAGAGATTAATTTAGAATCCTTTTAAATCCCAACAAGTTCCAAAGGTGAAAGTTAAGACTGAATGAAACATTTTGTTTTCTGGAGTAAACTTTCGTAATTCAATAAAGGAAGCATTTCTTACTGCAAGTCTTTTATGAACTAGGAGTAAATACTTTAATTCCATTTAGGTTCTTCCTCTCCATAGTACTGGCTGCAGAGAGATGGCTGAGCGACTAGTCGAAGGGAATTTCCCCACACTGCCTTGAAGGGTGGTTGGGAGGAGCAGAGGGGATTAAATCACAGTGAGGTCACGAGCACTGTGCCTGGCACCCAGGGGAGGATGACTGAAGGGTCAGGTCAGGGCCTTCGACGTATATGGTAAATCATCCAGCACCAGAAGAACGGCTGTGCTTCTGGCCATTGTCATTGCAGCTCCTTCACCCCGCAGCTTCTGCTTCCCATTTCTGGACCAGTCTGTGCTGATTCACTGGCGCAGATGTTTCCTGCTTCTGCTTCTTCTTTTAAATAGGCTCCTCCTGGGCCATGAGGGCTGACAGGTACTCGGTGCTGCTGGGAGCCGGCCAGGTAGTGCTGGGATCACTAGCGACCCCTGCTCCTCTGCAGTGCTGGGAGGGCAGGGTGTGTGTGTGTGTGTGTGTGTGTGTGTGTGTGTGTGTGTGTGTGTGTTTGCTAGGTCAAGGATTGAACTCTGGCCCTTGAGCCTGCCAGGCACAACTTCACCCTTTAAACTGTCTCCCGGGCCTCTGCTTCCGGCTTCTTTGTGCAAGAAATAAAATAGCTCTGTCACATGAGTTGTCACTGCCAGGAAGGGGAATCTGGGCAGCCAAGGCGGTCTCCTTCTGCAAGTTCGCTTCCACCACTCTCAGACAGATTCTTCTTTGGCTGACGCAGCCGTGTTTGAAATTCCATCAGGCGCTTACCTGGAAACGGGGGCCAGGAGAGAGTGCAGCGGTTAGGGTACACAGCCAACAGGCACTGACCTGGGGCGTGATTCTCGGCACCATGTGGTCTTCCGAGCATGTCTGGGTGCAGTCCCAGAGGCCCCCCGAGCACCACCGGGGTGGCCCAGGAATTCCCAGCAACTCAGTGCCTGTGCAGCATCGTATTCTGGGTTCTTGCATTGAACCACCCGCCTGTTTAGCTGAGAATCACAACTGGGGGCACCAGGCCTCCTGAGCACTGTGTAGGATACCCTCCTTGACCTCTAAAATGCCCACCAAAGAAAATGGTAGCATCTGCCAAGTGTATTTTAGTCAGTTTGCATATGAATGAGGTGCTACAGATTCTCACACAGGTCTTTGTTTTGGGAAGGGGACCCTGCAGGGAGCCCCTGAGTCTCTCTGAGCTCATATGTGTCAGATTTTTTGTTTGTTTTTTATTTGGGGGCCACACTCAGCAGTGCTCAGGGCTTATTTCCTGGCTCTGCACTCGGGGGCCACTCTTGGTGGGCCTTGGGGACCATATGGGGTGCCAGGAATTGAACCAGGGTCAGCCGCATGCAAGGCAAGTGCCCTCCCCACTGTACTGTCGCTTCAGCTCCAAGGTGTGTCAGCCTCTTGCACACAGACAAGTATTAGTACAGAATTGCATCTCTCCGGAGAACTGATTGGGAGCATTTTCATTGTTTATTTTGTTGCTTTGGGACCCCATCCAACAGTGCTCAGGGATTACACCTGCTCTGCGCTCAGGGTACCCTCCTGGAGGTGCTCGGGAGACTACCTGCAGTGCCGGGAATCGAACCGGGACCGGCTGCGTGCAGAGCTCATACCTTAACGCCTTCCCGATCTCTCTGGTCCTGGCGTCTTCGTTTTGTCTAGCACCACCAAGCGGTGACTTACAGTCTAGCTCTCCCTCCTCTCGGAGTTGTCAGGCGTTTACAGACCCTTGCGCCCTCTGGGGGTACTTGAAAGAATTGCTCCTGTCTTCTAGCAGCTTCGAAGCATCGCTTGGCTTCATCATCAGCTCCCCATTTCTGCTTGTCTTCAAGCGGCTGTTTTCTCTTCCCGTCTCTGTTTCCTTATTCGAATCTGGATTCGACTCTGGTGGAATTGCATGTCAGCTAAGCACCTCTGCCAAGAATCTAATTCCAAAGAGCATCCTGTTCAGGGCTTCCAGGTGGCCAGGAATTTGGGGGAAGACACCTCAATGCAAAGGTGTCACTGTGCCAAACTTTTCTTTCATTTATCTGTTTAGTGGAAGCATTTAGCGTCCTATCTCACCCCACCCTTACCCCACCCCAGCTCACTCATGATCACGATCATCCTGTTGTTCATCGATTTCCTCGAGCAGGCACAAGTAACGTCTCCTTCTTCCTAGCCCTGAGATTTTAAAAGAGCCATTTCAATGCTCTTTCAGGATTAGGAGAATGAGACCCATTATTGTTATTGGTATTTGGCATATTGAATACGACACGGGAAGTCTGCCAGACTCTGTTGTGCGGGCAGGATACATTTGGTAGCCTGCCAGGTTCTCCAAAGGAAAAAAAATAAGCTGCCCCACCCCAGCTCACTAAATGTCCCTAAATGAATCATTCCCAGGGGACAGATATCTGCACAAGGCTGTGCACGTGGCCCCTGACCCTGAGACAAACCACAGCCTGGCTGTGTGTGCAATCCTGGCCTCGCTCCTGAGCACGTCCTTGAATGTTGAGTTCTGTAAAATCAGCAAGTGTTTATGTTGCATGCTCCCTCCTAAGGCTGTGGGGCCTTGAGTATGGTGTAAAGGATTTGCGGGTGAGCTTCCAGGTGTGATCCCTGCGCTCACAGACAGGAGTAAGCCTGGAGCAGCACCAGGTAAGGCACCCAAACAAGTCAACAAATTAAATAAAGTTCTGCTAGCTAAGACAAATGACAAAATAATAATATTAGAGTACCTATGTCTTTTTTCCCCCCCAAGAGCCTACTGATGCTGCTTGGTTTGTTTTATATAATGTGTATTTTCATTTCAAATCTGTGGCAGAAAGCCTGACAGCACCATTCAATGTTGATATGCAGATGAACTTCAAAGACAAAACTGTTCCTGTTCATTCTACAGACACACATTTCCAGCAGAATCTGATTATGTCTCTCATGACCTCTGCCTATTGTCAAAGCTTTTTTAAGAATATATTTTTTTTATTGATCGGGATTCTGTGGTTTGCGTTTTCTTAAATTGTTTTTGGACCATACCTGGCAATTTTCAGGGGTTACTCCTGGCTCTGCTCTCTGGAATCACTACTGCTGGTGCTCAGGGGACCATATGGGGTGACAGGGATTCAAACCTGGGTCAACAGCATACCAGGTCAGTACCTTACCCACTAGACTATCTCTCCAGCCCACACAATACTATTAATAATGGTTTCTTAAGCACATAATTCCAGCAGCACACCCATCACCAGTGTACCCACCTTTCTCTCCCAAGGACCCCAAGACCCCTCCCTCGCACATCGCCCATCCCCCAACTCAGTTGTGTGGATTAGTTCTCCCATTATGTTACCTTTGTCACTTCCTTGCTGTATAAGTCCCACATATGAGAGAAATCATTTTGCATCTGTCCTTTTCCTTCTGTCTTCACTTAGCTTCTTGATCCATTCGTCCGTGGTTGAGACTGCCTATATCTTTAAATCAGGTTTATTTATTGGGGGTGGGGGAGCGAGGCTCCCACATGGTGCCCAAGAGACCTGGGGGCCACACCCAGAGACATGCAGTCAGTTAGGGCTGTTCAGTGCTTGGTCTGACATTGTGGTACTGTTCAGACCCAGCAGTGCTGGGGGCCTCCAAGGATCACATCTGCCTAAAAACCTCACTAAAAACTCAGCATCACTAGGCATGACATGAGTCAGATAGAGAAGGAGATACAGATACTGAGGCAATGGCCAGAAAGCACGTTGGGAATATCTGAATGAAGAGCTGGGGGGCGCGCTTGGGAGTTCGGACACTCTCAGCCCCAGATGATGGCTTTCCTGCAGCATGTTTGGGGGCCTCTGAGGTATATTCCCAAAAGCGCTATTGCTGGGTCGTATGAAAGCTCAGTTTAGTGGCAGATTGACCTCGGTGGTGACGTTGCAAAGATCGTAGACCTCAAATGCGCCTGCCTTTTCGTGGGAGAACAGGCCCCTGTGAAGAGCTGCCCTTGGAGAAATGTGAAGGCTGATTTGGTGTGTATCTGGGTTTCCCCAAAGGATGATGTCGGGAAACTGGGCAAGCTGTTGATGTGCGACTCTTTCAGCGTCTGGAGTATCCACAAGGACCGTTCGAAGATGAAGGATTTTATCCGCTTTAAGCCCAGCCAGAGGCAAATCTACCTCTTTGAAAGGGGCCTTGTGTTCTGTAAGATCCGAGTGGATCCTGGCGGCCAGGGACTGTCCCCTCAACACAGCTTTAAGAAGTCGATGAAGGTAAAGGGTGCGTGTGGGTGCGGGAGGGCCGTCCAGAGCCATGGCCCGGGGATGCTCAGCTTCACTTCACGGATCGGGCAACACAGCCTAGAAAGTGGGGTGAACTTGCCACATGCCACACAGCAGAGCTGCAGGCCACCCCTACGCCTGCAGTTCCAGCACCGAGAGAGGCCTTAGTGTGAGGGAGCAAGAAGGGCCAGAAGGAGAATTTGGTGATGAGAGCATGGGGTAGATTTTGTCTTCAACTTGCCTTTCTCAGCCCCGCATCACTGATAGGGATGTAGCTTGTCCTGACTGTGGGAAATGTAAAATGCCTAGCATCTGCCTTCACTCTGCACTCCTCTTGTGTAGAAATTATTTCATCTGTGGCCAGTCACAACACACACACACACACACACACACACACACACACACACACATCTTCTGGTGCTTCAAAGAATATATTTTTAGTCACCTTTGCTAAGTTGGGGTGTTCTTTTTTTTTTTCCTACTGTCTGGGGAATCCCACTACAGTGTGCCTTCTAATACTGAGACGTTTCCCTAGCCAATATTTTAGATTTTTTTTTTGGTACCTTTATTGTGTGGGCCACTCCTGACACTACTGGGGTGGGAGGGGGGTGAGGGCATGCGGTGTCAGGGATTGAATCCTGGTATGTGCTTTACTGCATTTCATCAGGGTTGCTAACTCAGTTCCTGTCACAGGCAGAGGTCTAAAGGAGAGACAGGTTCTCTGCCTAAGAGCCAAGGCCCATGGCTCTGACCATGCCAAAGTATTGTCTGTGCCATCAGTGCTGTCCTCAGAAAGAGTCCAGAGGGATGACATAGGACAGGCTGTGTTCTGTGGACCCCCACTCCCCATCCCAACCCACTCCCACCCCCCCAGCCGGGCTCTTATCAGTAGTTAAGTTGGGGTGGGGGGGGAGAAAAGGGAGAGCAAAATGTTGGGAGAAAGATGGAAAATGAGTTCTATAAAGAACCCAAAGAATTCAGGCGGCTAGTGGGAACACATTCCCAAGCAAACTCAGAATAAGATGACCTCAAAAAATGGTTTTTTCCTCCTTTTTTTTCCCCCCTTACAACAGTTGGCAACACTTTCAATTCGCCAGCTGGGAAAAGGGAGCACCAAAAAGTTTGAGATCTCCAACCAAAATGGACTTGAGAAGTACATCCTTCAGGTAAGGTGAACGCCTGTCCCTGACCATCCCCTTAACCCCCCACCCCCACCCCCGTGAGCCTGATGGATGTATCCTAGCTCTGTATCTTAAAGGTCACGCAGAGAACAGAAACAGTGAAATCCACGCACCCACTGGCCTGCTACTCAGACTGTTTTCTTATTTATCATTGCAGGCAGCTTCGAAAGAAACCAGAGATTGTTGGTTTTCAGCAATAAGTAAATTATTGATGCAACAGCAAAGCAGCATTAAAGGTAAGAGTTCCCTGCAGACTTCCATCCGGAGAGTTTCGCGGAGCTTAACCCCGGCCAAGCAGTGTGGTCTGGAGACGTTCTGAGACCAGATGGCTCCAGGACAGTAACTGGTCACGGTTTCACGGAGCCTGCAGAACCCAGGACTCACTGTAGGCTGTGTGCAGTTGTTTGTAGCTGCGTTGTCCCCGTATACCTAGGGGCCACCATCAGCTTCTTGAGTGCACAAAATACTCAAGGAGCTTTAAATGTCCTATCTTTCAAAAGTTGTACTCTTTTTAAGGTGACCCAGTGACTATACCATAAAGTTTATTCTTTGTGTTTAGGGGGAGGTTTTTTGTTTGTTTGTTTGTTTGAAAAAAAAATCATTTGTTTTAAAAAAAAAAAGAAAGAAAGGCTTGGGGGAAACTTTTCACACTGGCCACTCTCTAAATTGGGTTTAATAGATGATTCCAGTGAATTCACAGCTCAGTCAAATAATGATATGAAGGAGACTTTGAATGCAATTGGAACTCTATCCTGCCTTCTCCTGCAGCTGCCGAATTGCTCTTTTTTTTTTTTCACTTTCTGGGGTCCAGTTTGGGCCACACATGTGGTGCTCAAGGATTATTCCTATCTCTGTGCTCAGGGGACTATATGCAGTGCCCAGGATCAAGCCAGGATTGGACACATGCAAGGCAAAGACCTTACAACCTATACTGTCTCTGGCCCACACACGACAATGTTCAGTGTGCTCCTGAGCTGTTTTCAAGTCCTAAGGCTATCTCTAGGAGGGGAAGGTGGAATGGGGCATCCAGAACCTCCCAAAGCTCACGATGCATGCTGACATTCAGTTATGGAAAAATCTGGCTCAAACTTCATCAATTGAGTTATATTTCCTAATGGCTAATATTAATTGCATTAAGAAATGCTTGAATTGTGGGACATTTCTTATCATTTGTACTAGCAGTTTGCATTTGGTAAGGAAAAATTTTTTTAAATGAAAAAGGAAACTTCATCTTCAGAGACTTAGAAGGAATGCCATAGTTCCATGTTTTTTCTTCATCTCTAATCATAGCAGGTGATAAGGGTGTGGGGTGGGTGTGCATCATTAGATGGAGATAAACTAAAAGATGTCACATCAAGTGATCTCAGTCCTTCCTTCCTTCCTTCCTTCCTTCCTTCCTTCCTTCCTTCTTTCCTTCCTTCCTCCCTCCCTCCCTTCCTCCCTCCCCCCCTTCCTCCCTCCCTTCCTCCCTTCCTCCCTTCCTGGTTCAAACCCAGAGCCTCACATGTTTAAGGCAAATGCTCTACTTCTGAATCACATCCGTAGACCCATGATGTGAGTTTTGTGTTAGTTTTGTTTGGTTTGGTAGGGTTGGGTTGGGTTGGGCTTGAGGCCATACCCAGCAGTGCTGAGGGTTTACTCCTGATTTTGTGCTCAGGAATCACTCCTGGAGGTGCTCAGGGAAACATATACAATGCTCAGGATCCAATCCCTGTCGATAACATGCAACGCAAGTGTCTGTATTATACTATACTATACTATACCATACTATACCAAGCCCTATACTATCCCTCCAGCGCTACATGAACTCTTCTTGTAACCTGTAGGTCTCTGCCATGAAACAGGAACAGGATCTTCCAGTACATTTCCGTTTGTATAATGATAAGATGGGGGTGGAGAGGGAGGTGAATGGGTGAGTGTCCTTGTTTTCTCTGAAAACAACATTGCATTAGGAAGCATGTTCTAAAAATCCTTACCTCACAGATCAGTGTTTCTAAGGGTCATGTTGGGACACGCCGCCTCTGAAGCTTTTGCTCAGTTAGTAATGGGGCAGAACTTCCTTAAACACGCAAGCTCCATTAGTCTTCCTGTCTTTGCCAAGGACCCTGTGTGGACACCAACGCATCTAACACGCAAACAGCCGCTGACAATCCCACTGAGTCTTTCCCTTCCTGATTGTTGATTCAGATTGCCTCGAAGACTTGTTACAGGTATACATTGCTGGGATTCAAATAGCGAGAGTTAATACTTGGGGGTGTGCATTTTTGCTCTTTAAAGTGTTTGTACTACAACTTTTTTTTTTTTGTGGAGGGGCCACACCAGTGGTGCTCAGGAGTTATTCCTGGCTCTGTGCTCCTGGGGTCACTCCTAGTGCTGGGCATTAATCCAGGATCTGCTGCATGCAAGGGAAGAGCTTTCCCTGTGTGCTCTTTCTTCAGCCCTCCACCACCAACTGCATAACCAGCTTAACTGAGATATACTTGACACAATTAATAGTGCACGCTCAGAGAGGACAGTTTTATAATAAACGTGTTCAAGGCTGTAGAAGTATCACTGCGTTTGACAGTGAATCTGTCTTCCTCCCAAGTTTCCCCGAGCTCCCTTGGGTCCCCTTTCTCCTTCCTCCCCTCCTGCTGCTCCCTGGCTGACCACTGATGGTTATCTTTCTGTTACTCTAGATCTAGAAACATTGCACCTTCTAGAATTCCCTAAAAAGAATGACAGATTGTACTTTGGGGACTAAATATTTCTCTCCTTCAGCAGAATTACCTTGAGATGCATTCTTGTTGCTTTTTGTAATAATACTACATTCCTTTTCATTGTTTTGTAGCAGTTCATGGTTTAGACACCCAATTTCTTTATATACTCATTGTTTTAAAATACAAATACATGCCTTGGGCGGGAGAAACAGTACAGCGGGTAAGCCACTTGCCTTGCATGCAGCCTGCCCAAGTTAAATCCCCAGCATCCTATATGGTCCCCCGAGCACTACCAGGAATAATCCCTGAGTGCAGAGCCAGGAGTAACCCCTGAGCATTGCCGGGTGTGACCCCAAAAAAGCAAAGAAAAATAATGTCTTGGGGCCAGAGAGATAGTACCACAGGTAAAGTGTTTTCCTTGTACGTGACTGATCTAGATTCCATCCCTGACACTATATATGGTCTTCTGAGAGATCCCTGAATGCAGGGCCAGGGGTAAGTCCTGAGCACTGCTACGTGTGAACCAAAATCTGAAAATAAAAAACAGACAAACAAAAATACTATATGATTTTTTCTACTTTGAGGTTTTTTTTTAAATATACACAACCATGATTGACAAAGTTGTTCATAATACAGTTATTTAAAGCATTCAGGTATTCAATGTTCCAACACCATTCCCACCGCCTGTGTGACTTTTCTTCCTCCGTCGTCCCCAGTTTTCCACCCACCCTTCACTCCAAGAAGTCACAAACAGATTTACTTCATGTTGCTTGTTACAACAAAATGGCAAATGGAATTATCAGAAAACAGAGCAATAAAAGGCAATTTGTGATCATTGCTCGATCTCACAATGGTATTACAGAAGTCATTCAGGATTTACTGAGCTGGGTGATGCTGGTTGAACCTTTTGTGTTACTGTTTCACTCATTGAGCTGGGCAGGCTTCTACGCAACTTTCCCATCAAATTTGCTCCTACTGGGCTGTTAGTACTGTGAAAAATGGAGGAGGTGTCACATATGTGGCTGCGTGTTCCAGGAGTGATGGAACTGCCCTGTTTTTATGTCGGAGGAGGTTGAGCGTGTCTGCTGGTGGGTCTCTCTGGAAGGGAGGGGAGTCTGTCCGTCCTCATTCTGAGAAAGCCTTAGAGTTTTCAGTCCAGAGATTGGTGGCATAATGGCTTTCCTGGGGAGATATTTTGAATAAAGCTACTTTAAACCTTTGATTCTTATTTTTCATTGCCTCTCCCCCGCCTTTTTGTGCCAGGGATTGAACCCAGAGACTTATACAGGCAAGGCAAGTGCCTTATTGGTAAGCTACCAACCCAGCCCTGAACATTCGAGGGTCTTTTTTTGACAGCCATCCAACAATATGTTGGTTAGGCCATGTGGCAGATGTATGTTTAATATTTGGCAGAGGGGCATACCTGGTCTTGCTCAGGGGACCACATGCTGTGCTGGGGTGGTAGCTTTTAAGGAAACTGAAAAATTATTTTCCAAAGTGGTCACACCCTTTTACGTCTTTATAACTATCTATAAGTTTGACTTTCTCTACCTTTTCAATTACACTTGATATTGTGAATCTTTTTAATGTTAGGCCTTCTGATAGGTAAATACCAGTGTTCCATCAAAGTTTTAACTTGCTTTTCCTGGTGACTATGCTGGGACATCTTTTCATGTGTTTCTTTGCCATCCAGATATCTTTATATGGTTCAATGTCTTTTCAAGGTTTTTGCTCAATTTTTTCCTTATTGTTTGTAGTTTTTTAAAAATATATCCTATATGCAAATCCTTTATTATAAATTCATTGTCAATATTTTCTTTTAGTGTGTCGTTTATTTTTTTCATTCTCATGACATAAAAACTTTTAATTTAGCTGGGGTTTTTTATGTTTTTTTTTTTTTTTTGGTTTTGGTTTTGTATTTGGTTTTTGAAGAATAAGAGGCATGAGACACACCTGGCAGTACTCATGGTTTACTTATGGCTCTGGGTTCAAGGGGTCGGTCGCTCCTGGCAGTACGTTGGGGACAATATGTGGTGCTGGGGATCTAACTGGAGATTGGTCTCTTGCAACACAAATGCTTTAACCCTTATATTCTCTCTGGCCAAATACTTAATTTTGATAATATCCAATTTTAAAAGCAATGGTTTTTGGGGTGTTATTTATGAATAACACTCATACTTGGGTGTTATAGTAAAAAAAAACTGCTTAAAGTCACAAAGATTTTCTCATTACCTTTTTTTCATTGCCTTTTCCCCCCCTTATGGTACCAGGGATTGAACCCAGAGTCATAGACAGGCAAGGCAAGTGCCTTATTGCTAAGCTACCCGTTTTCTTCCAGAATTTTTATAGTTTGCTTTACATGTAGATCTCTGGTTCATTTCGAGGGCTTGGTTGTTGTTTTATTGGTTGGGGTGTTTTGGTTTTGGTTTTGTTTGGGGGCTACACCTGGCAGTGCTCAGGGCTTACACTTGGCTCAGTGCTCAGGGATACTCACTCATCGCAAGACTCAGGGAACCATATGAGGTGCTGGGGATCAA